CCATCCCTGGCATACAGGAAGGAAATAGGAGGTTTGCTAAGGGCTGTAGTGACAGTGGCTCTCCGGCCTGGTATGCCTGTGGAAATTGCTTACTGCTCTGAATTCCATCGGATATGGTGTCAGCAGTTCATAATCCTGCATTGAGAATCATTCCTCTTATCAAAATGGATAATTTTCCAAATAAAGTCATCTTCAGTTAGCATTTTAGTAAAAAGACTAATCATGCATCTTGAAGACTGGAAGCGCCAAGGACTTCTTAGGTTATCTTGTTTATCTATCTGCCTATACATGATCGTGCACTTGTCCTTCTTGGGACAATGGCATTTTAGTTTTACAAAGAGAAGCAGGCATTATCAATTCAGAAAAAAAAACAACAACCTGTGGACCTTTCGTTTGCAGACTCTATGCATCTTGTTAGCCTTAGCAAGCAAAGGCTGAAAGCTTTTGGATTTTCTTCTTTCAAACCAAGGCCACAAACAATATTTTTTTCATAAAATTACATTGAAACTAAATAAAATATGTTTGTAGCTATTCTTCAATTGTTCATTTAATCTGTTTGCATCTGGGCTTCCAGAGTTCACTCTCTAAGAAGTAGAACAAGGAAAGGGGTAAAATTAACGATTTTATGATTAACAATTTAAACTGTTGAAAAACATGAAGTTCTCCCTGTTCTTTTCAGTACAGCTTTGCCTTTACTGACTTAATAAAAGCTCTGGTCTTTCAGAAGTTGTAAGGATGTAGTAATGAGACTGCAGGTTGTCTCTCGCACTGGCTCAAACCTAATTTATTTCTTTTCATGCACAAAGTTTGGTGCTTTTTGGATTTTCATAGATTTACAGTTGGGTTGTTATAATAGGTGGAATCTCGATGATATTCTGTCATAGAAGCAGTCTCTGGCAAACTTTTTGTCAGTGCAAAAAGGTACGTGGTAGTTAGAATTGCTCAGAAGAGGAGTGCTTTAAGTGCTCTTATGCAACTGGTAGCTTGCTCGGCTACTCACAATTCTTTTGGAATTAAGGATTCTCAGTAGTCAGACATCCTTTTCTAGTTAGTTGTACTCATGTGGATCCAAGGTTTCTATTACTATGCTCACAAAGCTATAAACTGTGATGTGAAGAAACACAAATGCTCTGATATAACTAACATCTGCATGGAGCTCCAGGGTCTGCTTTTTCAAATTTCCCACTAAATCTAGCTTAGTTCTCTTTGTAACTGTTCACTACCTTTGTTTGGGGATTCCAAACAACCTTTTCTTGCTTCAAGACTCAGGACGTAAGACCTCTGGAGCTTTGCTGTTTACTGGAGCTTATCTGCCAGAGTAGTTGCCTAAGTTGTCTAAGGACATAAGTTGCTAACTATTGATATCTCATATGTTCTATTTCAGTTCTTTTTGTTTGCTGTAAATGCCTTGGAGGAAAAAAAAAAAAAGTTCTAACATATACATGTTTTTATGTAAAGCAGAGCTTTGGAATTGAACAGTTTCTATTTGTTTCTGTTCATCAAATGATAAAAATGTTTATACAAAAATTATAGTTAAAGGAGAGAAGTAATTGCATGTGTGCAACTTAAATTGTTTCCTCAAACAGCTACATTTTGAATTCAGTTTCTCAAAAGCTCTCTTCATGCTATTTTCTAGGCTGACCTGATTGCTTTATGGAATCAGAGAATTGTCCCTGAAAGAGGACAGTGTCCTTGTGTGCAAGAGCAGTAGTGGTGGAGGGATTCCATCAGAATCTCTTGTTGGCTTTGAAGAACATTTACCCAGAAAGTGAGAGATATTAGTTCATGTCAAGCCACTGAATCAAGAACAAAGTAGTCTTCAAATTTGATATCTAAATATTGGTTATAATAACAAAAATGTGCTATTTACATATTTGTGATAAGACATAGATCTATGACATCCGACTACAAATTCTAGCCATTTATTTTTTCAGGCTCTGAGTAAATGGACAGGAGTGTTAATAACCTATTAAAAAATTACTTATTCACTCTGAACTGATTTAGTTTGTTCAGCAGCTAAAACATCTGAAGTTTGTTTGCCTCACATTTTTAATAGCATTCATTTAGTTGTCATTAGAATATAGAAAGTTACTGACATTGTAGGGTTTTTCTAGAAATAAGAAGGCAATTGTTCATTTTTTCCCAGACTTTCACAGATCTTACTGCTATCTGACATCCAGAAACCCATTGTAAACACGGTCCGATACAAAGTAAACATACAAGCCTCAGTATCAGATGAACAGAACACTCAGGATTCAAATTGTCTTCCAGACAAGACTTCCCAACTTAATTCACAGCAAATTTTCCGTATATATATATATATATCAATTTCCATGGGACTTTATAAAGTTTGTGGTTTATTTTGATGAGATCTACAATTTTACTGACTGCCCTGGGGATTTGATGGTCCTTGCACATTTAGTAGATTTAAATTCTGTTGGTGGATGTGTATTCAGAAAGCAAAGGCAGTGTTGTGTACAATAACAAAATATGGGACTATTAAGGAGGTGAAGAAAATATTTTTGCTTTTTCCATAAAAAGAAGAAATGTTTTATTGTTTATGTGAGATTTTGTAGAACTTCTCTACCTCTCTGACGTTAACTTCTATGGAGAGTTGTGCTAGTGGAATCTTCTGTAGAATGACAGAAGTTGATTGTAAAAATAGCCCTTTTGATAAATTTCACAGAAGCTAACAGGAACAAAACAGAATAAAAAGCCTGGAAATTAGTTTACAGTAAATTAGATAAGGGTACTTGAAGGACATTTGATAATTAACACTGTATAATTGTGTAAAAAAAAAAACAGTGAAACGTTTTGTGAAAAAATATGATCTTGACAAAAATTCTATTATCAGTTTATTAGGGTAGGCCAAAGTGATTAAATAGGAAACCAAAATCTGAGGACTGTTATTATGTCTGGATACTAGTACGGGTTTTATAATGAGTTTTTAAGCAGAGTAAGCAAATTCATACTTATCTCTGTGTATAGGCAAAAACTATAATTGCATGCAATATAGATACCTAGTTCCTTGTGGTTTTTTGTTTTTTTTTTTTAAGTTGGCTAAGAAAGCTTGGACAATTATAGTTAGAATTTTTCTGATTTGAAAATATGAGGGATATTTTTTATTGAAAGTACTGCAGGAAATGGCACAGTAATGGTATTTTCATAAAAACAATCAATTACATTTTTGAGTTATTTGAAAAGAAAATACAGAATAAGACCAGTGTTGAGAGAAATGAAAAAGATAGTGAAGAGGGCAGAGATGTAAAAGTCAGCCTTGAATGGAAAAGGCAGATGGGGATTGGATAAAGGAACTGCAATCCAAACATTCCTGAGAAATGCGCAACAGCTTTTGCAAACACTCCCCTTGATAATTAGTGCCCTGCTTTGCACGTTCTGAGGGTCAGAAGGATTTTCAAAGCAGAGAAGGCAAAGGATTTCAACACTGATGCCAATTTCTAACCTTCTCAGTCTTACTGTAGTTAGGCACTCTGTAATTAATCAAGACATTAACTTAATATTTTGTAATAAACTTATGTCCACCTATTGCATAATGTAGAAGTTTCTCCAAATTACTGCTGTCCCAGACATTAAACAGGAAATCAGTGAGTGCAATGTCTGCAGCTCCTTACAAGGAATGAACAGTTCAAAATTCATAGCCAGCATCAGAAATTCCAGTTTACCCGGGTGTTTAGAACAATCCCTGTGTCTGTGCACATTATTTCTACTCCTTGTACATTCATGAAGAAATGTTGCATATAGAGAGAGAGATATATATACGTCGATATATACATAGAGATATATATATATATATGTCGATAGATAGATACTGATATCTATTAAAGTAGCATTTAAATAAGCATATGTCATTGTGTCATTCAGGAAAATCAGACACAGAAAAATAGCCAGAAGTTTCTTTATGTGAGATGATAGATGGTCAGCAGACAGATCCATATCTCTGTTCTTCTGCTGAAGAAGAATTTCTGAAGAAACTGGCTGATTGTTTTGTGAGTGGCTCTTTTGCTTTTTAAAGTCTCAGCTGAATAACTATGGCTCTATCAGGCCCTCTGCTTCCCAAAGTACACAGAGAATTGGGGAATAACTAACAACTGTGAAAATAACTCAGACATCCAAATACGCTATCCGAAGCAGTCATCTCATGACACAAGGCCAAACCTTTGAAAATCAAGGCCAATTTATTATAAAATTTGTAGAAATGTATTATTTTAAAATATGTTATATACAGAGATCTTTTAATAAACCTCTAAGAACCATTTTTTTGAAAATGTTGCTTTGTGTCATTAGGGTAAACAGGGTGGAACTTTAAAGTTTTCAGATATTTCGAGACAGTTCAGGAGAAGAAATCTGTCAAAAAAAACCTCCTAATATCATTAAATGATTTTAGTTTCCTGAGATTGCAGATAACGTGTTACTGTACTTTTCATTAAGAAAACTAATTATTTATGTACTATTGGAACGGAGTTAGAAAAGACACTTGATTTATAAGTTCAGAATAACCCTAAATTTCTGAATGCACCGAACTGCAAAGGTTAAAGGCCCATTAACTGCTTTATGTTGCAAGATGAGCTCATTCCAGAGCGTGCTCTACCACAAAACCCTGGTCAATCCTTGTATTGATTTTCTTCAGATATCTTAAGCTTCTTTTATTAATTTGTCAAAACATTCTTCAGGTGGCACAGCTCTGAGCAGCTTAAGTAAAGCTTTGGTGCTGGGGTTTTTCTATTTCTGCAACCTGATTGATACGAAGTGGGGTCCTTTGTTGAAAGAGTAAGAAGCCTCGGAACAGAAAATGTGGTGAATACATACAGCAGGCAGGCATGCATTCCTTCCAAATGTTGGTAGTTGGCCACAGATGCTTACTGCTAGAAGTAACACAGTGTGTATAGGAGTCCTTCTTCTGCCTCCCTATCTCTTAATGTTATCTAGAAGTCATTTTTTAATCTTTTCTCTCTTTTTTTTTTTTTTCTTTTTTTTCTTAGCAGTGCACTGTCTTGGAGGGCGTTTGCCTGCATTCCCAAGGAGACTAATCCACCTTAGATACAGTACGTGTAATTTTCGGGAAGCCTGAACTGCTTCAGTGGTAAGTACATGGTAATTCTCTTTGTGCTGACGTGCTTGGGCTGTGGTGTTTAAACTGCGTTTGACACATTCCGGGGTTTAGCTTATGTGTTTTATGCGTTATTGAAAATAATATACTGCACTTAGTGATTGCGGAACAAAATGTCTTCTCATCTTCTCTATTCTGTGACATTTGCCATAGCAAAGTGCTAAGAATAATTCTGAAGAGAGAATATTATTTTGTTCATGTGCTATTTCTCACAGAAATAGAAAATAGGACAATGTTCTTGTTTACTTACAGTTTCTTTCCATGAATCAGTTAACTAAAAAGACCGTGATATACGTGAAAATATAACTCTTATCTACTGTAAGGTTGGGTAACATTTGCCTGAGTGTCTATGTATTTTGGTGTTCCACTATTTTACTCTAAGAAGAATGTCTTCAAAATTTCCTTTCATTTTGAAACCTATTACTAGCTCAGCCTTCAACAGAAGTTCAGTCAGATGCAGTGTTTCTAAAAAGGCCTATAGCTGTCTTTCTCTTTAGAGAGGTTATTACCTCTACACCAAGTAGATTAAAACTAGCTTCCTCATTGTCTTCTAAATTAGCAAATTCACTAAGAAAACTGGTTCACGTCATTAAGTTGATAGCATCAAAAGTTACTCAAGTACAAAATTTCTGGATTTTTATGGTTTGAATTATTTTTCACTTTTTGCCTAATGGAAACTGCAGTCTACACTTCTCGTGTACTTTCACAAGTACCATGTTTAAAACATCTTGTGAATGTTGAAGTGCTGCTGAAGATACTGAAAGGTGAGTTTTCCCAACTGCTCTTAATTGAAAACAGAATTTCTGTAAGGTTTTGGAGAAAAACTCTGATAAGTTCCCTCATTCTAACTTTGAGAAGATGTTGTTAGTTTTGTTGATTTTTTTTTTATATTTTTTTTATTTTTTTTTTAAAGGATAATACTACTTGCCTCCCTGCCCAGAGCTGCTTTGTTGGATATGTTTGATAAGATGTTCTTCTACCTATGTGGCATTTTGTTCACATTTAGTAAAAAAGAATATGACATATCAATTGGAATGCTGCCTGTTGGTTGTCGTTACAAAGCTACTATAAACTAGAGTTCAAAAATCCTTAAATCTCTAAAATGATGATGCTGAAAGTTTTTGGTTGATATACACACACACACTGTACTACAGGGTATAGCTAAGTATGCTTGCTCATGCTATTCTTCCTCATGAGCCTGTGGAGAGTGTGTTGAAGAATTCAAGTGCACTACAGCCCTAGATTTGCAAAGTCACGTTCAGACCATGCTTTATAGAGCAAGCTTTATATAGCTTGCTGTTTCTCTAGATGGTAAGTTCTCTGGGGTTTTGGTAGCTACCTCAGCACAAACCAATCTACTATGATAACTATTGTTTTATTGATATAACGTTACCTGCACAGAGAGGCAGGTATGCGAAGGCTTTACTGCTACAAATTTTGTGAGATCTTATTTTATATGAGAAATACTGTTATTCAAAATATTTTAATGATACCATCCTCAGGCACCAAGCTTTTAGACCGTGCTGTGTAGCTAGCTGTTCTTAATTCCTTCCAAATTTATCAGGAAACTTCAGTTTTCTTGACATTTCTTGACAGTGTGCGCGCTGGCAGTTGGCTCTGTCAAGGTGCATGACCTATGCAGTATTCTGGAGTTGGGTTCTCGTTCCATGGACAGCTGCCAGCATGAAAAGGTGGGGCAGATCTAACATTGAGAGTAGTCAATATATATCCTAACAGAAGTTTCTAAACTTTGTTGTGATCTATCTTCATCAGCATAATAACAAAATGAAGTAATGCAATAACACACCATTTAATTTAATTAACCACTTGATTTTAATTACAAAATAATTCAAAGGTCTTACTGCAGTGGTATCATGTGGCAGCTTGTTGCAATGCACAGTAAATTTACCTTTTCATGTTTTCCATCAAGCTTTCAAGGTGCATCTGTACCATAACCCTTGGCAGGTCCGACATCACTCCCAGTGCTGGACTCACTGTGCATTCTGAGGGGTGTGCAAGAGAAAGCTGTGAGGCTGCTGAAAGTGAAATGATCTTTTATTCTGTTTCGTTGCATAGAACAAATATTTCTGTCAATGTTTTCTTCCTGATGAATAACCTCTGGTGTTCTCAGTTTGTATGGTGTTCTCTGAAATCGTTGCACTCAGGCATATCTGCATGCATTATCTGCAGGAGACAACTCTAAAGAATCATCCTGAAGTCATCCTAGCTAAAAAAAAATCAAGCAGCCACCAGCCAGAAACCACCAGGCAAGTTCCTTTATTTTTTGTCTCCCTTTGGCAAGTGACCTGAAGTCATGAAAATGGAAAAATTGCTCTAAGAGCATTCATGGACCAAAAAAAAAAATTAGTGTCTGTAAGCATTACTGTCTGTATCGTCAAAACTCTTAGTTTTTTGATAGATTTTATATTTCAATGCCTGATTTAGCTTAAAACATAGGTATCACCATCAGGACAGCTGTTTGTCAATTGCACTCATGCAAATTTTTAGAGGTGCTATCTGTTCTTACAATAATGTTAACTGCAAGTTTCCTCAGTAGTGTTTTCTACTCTGTATTCAAGAAATGTGTTCTCATCAGAAGTCCAACCAAAAATGCAGGTGGCCTGTGTGTGGTGATCTGCGCTATTTAAACATCGGTAGAAGATAAATGAATAAGCAGGATAATACTTTGAAAAGATTTACTTTTTCACTTGGTGGTGTTACATCTGTGGTTCCAAAGATATGAATTTGACAGAACGCCAGTGATGTTTCTAAGAAATAACAGTAAAAGGCATTTGGCTGATGAGGATCAAAATTGAAATGTGTGGCAATCTTCACATATTCTTATTCAGTAAAAACAGAACTAGTTCAGTACCAGGATTAATGACACCAAGCTGAGTGGTGCAGTTGGTACAGCAGAAGGGAAGTATGCCATTCAGAGAGACCTTGGTAAACTTGAAAGGTGGGCCGTGTGAACCTAATGAGGTTCAACAAAGACAAGTGCAAGGTTTTGAACTTAGGTCAAGATGATCCCAGATCTGTATACAGACTTAGAGAACTCCTTGAGAGTAGCCGTGCTGAGAAGGATTTAGGAGTCTTCGTGGATCAAAACTTTAGCATGAGCCGGCAGCGTGCACTTGCAGCCCGGAAAGTTAATGGCATCCTGGGCTGCATCAGAAGAGAGGAGGTCAGAAAGTGCAGGGTGGAGATTGTCCATCTTTGCCCTTGTGAGGCCCCATCTGGAGTACCGTACCTAGGTCTGTGGCCCCCAGTTGAAGAAAGATGTAGAGTTTTTGAAGAGGATCCAGAGGAGGGCCATTAAAATGGTGAGAGGGCTGGTGCAGCTCTCATATGAAGGCAGGCTGAATGAGCTGGGCTTGTTCAGTGTTGTGGAAGAGACAGCAGCAGGGAGGCCTCATTATGGCTTTCCAGTATTTAAAGGGAGATTGTAAACAGGAGAGAAATCAACTTTTTAAAAGGTAGACAGTGATAGGACAAGGGAGGAGTTTTAAGCTGAAGGAAGATTTAGATTAGATGTCAGGGGGAAGTTTTTCACTGAGAGGGCGGTGAGGTGCTGAAATAAGCTGTTCAGAGAAGGATGTGGATTGTGGATGCACATCGGTAGAAGTGTTCAAAACCAGGTTGGATGGGGCCCTGGGCAACCTGATATAGCCCTCGATCTAGCGATTGGCAACCTTGACTGTGGCAGTGGGCTTGGAATTTGATGATCTTTGAAGTTACTTCCAATCTGAGTCATTCTATTATTCTATGTTTCTTCTTGTATCATCGTTTTATATTTTTAGAAATGGTTCTGTTTTCTTCATGTTACAGTTTGCCATAATGCAAACATGACACCTCATAAATTCTCAGAGATCTAGAGATGGCACCTGAAACTATTCTTCACTCTGAAATTTCATTAAGCTCCCAAAAGACAATATTTTTTCCTTTTTCTGAGCAGTGGTTAGTGGTCATGGGTGATCTTGAGAGCTGGAAAACATAACAGCATGCAGTGCTTTTGTTCACAGTGACAAGACATAAAGAGGCACAGTAGGACAGCTTATGGGAAAGATAGTACAATAACAACACTGACCTCCTGACCTTTATAAATTAGGAAGTGCAATTTCTAAATTAAAAACAGGACCAGAAGTGCTGGGAATGGAAACAAACTTAATTCTCTGTTGTGCAAAAAACCCTAGATTTTCCTAACAGCAGGTCAGATTTTTAGTCCTTTGTACGTGTCCATTTGTTTCATAAATTCCAGACAGCTGTGTGCTTGGAATGGCTTTGGGAACAAGGACAACCAGGGGAACAAGGGAAGACAAGAGGAGAATGGCTGGGGATCAGCACTCTTTGCATGCCAAGGAGATGCTCCCTCTGGAGAGGGAGATTTGAATATTCCCAAATGAGGAATTTCTTTTTCTTCTCTCCTGCAGTATCTACAAAGTTGACTCAAGACACAGAAACTTCAAAAATCAATATCTGTTTATCGTCAGAGAAGAGTGACCCAGACCTGATCTCTAATCTAAACACCACTATATCTTGGTGGCATCCATCAAGAGATTTTTTCTGCTCCTACTTCTTTTAATTTTCTGTAAGCAAGATTAATTAAGTATTGTGGATCCTGGAACTTAACTGATCTCTATCAGGAGGTTAGTGAAACATCCTTTTGAGGATGGGGAGGTCAGCTGAGGGTTGGGAAGGTGGGATTAGGTATATTTTTGTTTCAAGGCATACTCTATTTCTTTACTCTCAAAATGGCTTCTGTAATTACATTGCTAGCTTACAGACTTGTTTTTCAATACAGCCTTATCAGTGTATTCAGTGCTCTGCCATTTGAGAAGAAATGTTCCATACTTTGTAACATTGATATAATCTATGGGAGTTTTTGAGTTTCCCGATGTGTGTGTAAAATGATCTGTTGAGAAGAACCCATTTTATATCTTGGAGTAAGAAGATTTTTCACCTCAAAAATACTACGTTGTTCTACTAGTAATGTTTATTTTTTTGTATGATATTTATTTCTACTTTTCCATGACACGTAATTGTTAGGAAAGAATACAGAAAAAATTCTTATTTTGGAATATTTTAGAAAATTTCTTATTTTGGACAGGAAACTTCTTACTTAAGACACAGTGAGTAAATGGGTGTTGAATGAGCGTATCAATTATTGTATTCACAGAGTAGTTAAAATACAGGTTTTTGGGCAGGCAGTAAATTTACATTTTATGTGGTAGCTTGTCTGGGGAAAAATACTTTTCTTGTCACAAGGGTAACAGGACTGCCTGATAGCAACCCAGGCCTGGGTCAAGGCAGTATAAATAGGGTTCTATTGCTGCTGTTGGAAAATATAGCAATGGCAAACACTTAAGAAATACAGATTTTGTAAATGCATTAAATTTACAAAATTTACAATATGCATAGTTTTCACACTGTAAGACCCACTATATGGGTCTTTGGGGCAATAGTGGAGATAGAAAAGTATATGTCTTAAGAACATATAGATGCCTGTGTAAACATAATTCCTCACTGTGCATGGAAAGTCATTACAGTTACATAAAGTTACATTACAGTCAGGCGATGAGGATGTGCTTACAGGCAGGCTGGAAATTTGGATAGGCTGAGGCAAAAGGAGTACAAAAAAGTAGTACAAAAAAGATGGAATTCAGTGTTTGCTGGAATCACACCACTGTTATTACGATTTGTGCTACAGAGTTCATAAGGAAGGAGAAGAATGCTTGTGTGGTATTTTTATTGTTTTCTTGATTATTTCTAACTACTTAAGCTTGTTAGCAGACAGCTTTGTTGTTATTATGGAGGGGTGGTTTTGTGGCATCTTTTTACCCAGATTTTCTAAAAAAAAAAAATGTTCCCACGCTTGTCTGAAGAGTTGCTATCAATATTGATATGTTTCTACTTTTTATATGTCTGAGTATAAAATATAGGGCTTTCTATTCTATGATATTAAGACAAAAACCTGCCAGCCAATAGAGAGCTTAATGATAAAAGAGGTTCAGATCAATAGTATAGGAGTTCTTCTGTGCATGACAATGCACAACTTAATTCCTAACTTTTGCCACTTTCTGATAGCAGACGCATCATGGGCTCTATGAGAATACATTAGAGTTAATAAGAGAGGAATGCATGTAACGAGGTCAAGGATCAGAAGAGATCCCATAGAACAGATGTGAGGAGCCAGCTTTCAGGCCACCCAGCAGCAGCAGGGCTGGTCATCTTCCACTCCGCTCAGAGAAGCAGCTGAGCGCTGCCTCTCTGTTCTAGGAAACCCATGTGCTCTTTTGACACGTGGAGCACTTCTGGTCCAGAAGAGAACATCATACCCATCTCTAGCAGCCACTCAGGGAAAACTAGTCCAGTGCTGATCTTGAAGACCAGAATTTCATTTTTTGTTTTTAATCTTTTTTTTTTCTTTTTTACTTTTTTCATTTTGAAGACCAGGATTTCATTACTCGCAGAAGAATCTTGTATTGCTGCATTCTCTTTGACCTACTCGTGTCTTCATTTTCCTTCATTTTGAATAGATTTTTCTAAAAAAAGTTTTTCCTCGCTAATTTCTTCTGCTTTGAGTCGTGTTAATTCCAAACAGATCAAGAGTTAAAACACTTAGTCCTGTATTCTTTTCTTCTTTTTTTTCCAAAAGATGAGTCATATGAGTGCGGATAGCCTTCTGTTACTCTTTAGTAAACTCAAACAAGAATATTTATTCCCTCATTAGAAAAACAATAAATCAGAGAACTGAAAAATGTGGAACAGTAATTTGAAATAAGTAATTCCTGCCTGTGTATTACAGTTGTTCTTTTTTTGTTTAGAAGATGCAAAAAAAAAAAATCCCAAAAAACTTCATAAAGTGTGCAGGATTGCTAGTCCTGAAACCTAAAATCTGGAACCTTTCTGTTCTGAGGTTCCATGTGAACCAGCTGAAGTGCAGCACACTTGAGTGCTGTTGGGAACTCTGTGTACTGCCTGGAACTGCAGAGCTTTGAGTTGAGGCAGCAGAGCCAACAACACAGTTGGGCTTACCTGGTGCACCCCTGCTTTCTGCACAGATTCTGTGCTGTAGGGATTACCTCCTGTGTATGCTAGTGTGATCTCAAGCTGCTCTCTTGACAGACTTGAAGATATAGGAGAACAGAATTTCGGCAGTCATGTAAAATCAAATATAGCTCATCAACTCACAATCAAATTTATTTTAAGTTGTTTATATACTTTCTGCTGTTTTTCTGTACTTTTGGTGCTCATCTAACAGCTATAA